GCCCGCCGCCGCTCCCGCCCCGCCCCACGGCGGCCGCAGGTGCAGCCCCGCCCCTCCCACCCTCACCGCGCAGGCGCGCGTGCCGCCCGCCGGCCCCGCTTTAGCCACCCCCTCCCCTCGCTTCGCCCCGCCCTCTCCCGGCCACCGCAGCCAATCAGAAGCCCCGGCGCTTCCTTCAAGGAACAGAAGCGGTCCCGCGCCGGGACTAGAGGAGGGCGCGGTGATTGGCTGAGAAAGTGGGGGGGCGTGGCCTTATGCGGCACTGCCGCCGCTGACTTCCTTACCGCGTGTCGATAGAGAGGATGGGCGGCGCCCCGTGAGAAGAGCGGCGCGGGGCGAACAGCGCCCCCTGCGGCGCGGAGGATCGGGGCGGCGGCAGCGGCTCCGGAAGCGCCGGGTCGTAGCGAGGGGCGCGCGCCCCGGCCGGGGACTACGGGTGGTGTGTGTCCCCGTTACCCCGCTGCCCCTGGGCCCCTCGCCGCCCTGCTGCCCGATCCCCCGGGCCCACCGGCTGTGTTAGACACCAGAGAGCGAGTTTCGGGAGCGCCGAGTCCAAAGCGCTTCCCTGCGAGGCGCTGTGCCCTCCAGCCCTCAGGGCGAGGAAGGGTCTGCTCCTCCCGGCCCTTTCCTCCTGTAGAAATACCTTGTTTATAAACGACCCGGAGGCTTCTGGGTCAGAAGGTTGGGTCACATGTTTGATCGATGGGCCAAGGCCGGTGGTATGAGGTTCAATAAGGCCAAGTGCCAGGTCCTGCATTTTGGTCACAACAACCACAGCAACTATTCATCTGCTGCAGAGTTTTCAACAAGCCACTGATGCCACCTTGTCACAAATCTCAACTTCTGATACCATGGAGGACTCACAGAATCACGCAAGTTTACATTAGAAAGGATTTTTGTGGATCACCCAGTCCAAGATCTCAGCTTGTGCCAGTGTCAACAGGTTGCTCAGGGCTGTGTCCAGTTCAGTTTTGATTACCTCCAGGGACAGACACTCCACAATTTCTCTGGGCAGTCTGTTCCAGTGCTTGACCACTCTCATCATTTAAAACAAAACAACTTTAAATAAAACCCAAATATACACCCTCTCAATTAAGTTTCCTATATTTCAGTTTGTGCCCAAATTAGTAGTTCCTACATCTCTGCATCTTCAAATTAAGATAAGGATGTTCAACACATCTGAAGTTCTCACTCAAGACAACTCTTAGATACTCAGAGACAGCAACTGAAATAGAGTACCTGCTTTCAAACACGATAATGTTTGTTTAAATGAAAAGGCAGCAATACTAATATTTAGGTTTGCCAGTTTCAGCAAAAGCTATCCTTCCATTTCTACACAGAAAGGCAATCCTTTGGATTTGCTCCTTCACCCGGCAAGCTGATGTCCTTTCTCTGGTGTAACAGGCTATAATGTTTCTCTACATCTGCCTTACAGGTATACATGCACTCCCCAGTGCCAAAGATTCCCACTTGATCACAATACTTAAAAATGAAGCTTTTCTAAGAAGTTGTTTAACTGCTTTCTTTACAACCCTTCCCCAAGAAATAAAGTTATTTTAGTCACAGAGTATCAAAGGGTATGTCCTGGTCTGAGGTAACACAGAACACTCCATATCAGCTATTTGTTACTGGTTTGGATTTTTTTTTTAAATATTAAGCAATGAGTCATGTTGTCTTATTACTGGTAGTTTGCCCCACAGAGTCTTGCTTGGTTTCATTCCCAACAACCAGATTTAAAAAAAAAAAAAAGAAAACCGCACAAGCCTTAACCTTACTCCACAAAAAATAGCAAATCTTGGTTTTTTCAGTGTCTTTCCCCACCCCCCCTCAATACAGTTAGCCTCTCTCAAACTATGAACCGTAACACCTGCATAAAACTTGCAGTACATATGCAGAGGGGTTTGGTGTGTTACAGGAATAGCAAAGGCCGTAAGCAGCTGATTGAACTTCTGATACCAGGAAGATAAAGGCAGACCTTATATTCTTCCTACACCAACCAATTCAAGAGGATGTTCTTGCATTTCTGCGTGGCACACATCAGCTGTATTTACTCTATCTTAGGGTTTGGTTGAAACTTCTGAGGCTGCTACCTTAAGTTTTGCCAAGTGGCAGTTGAATTTGACAGAGCTGCAGGCAAGGGAGCAGAAGCTGGTGCTAGTACTGCTGCTGTCAGAGCTCTCAAGGCAGAAACACAACTGCTTTCTTCATCTACAATTTGCAATAGCCTCTGGCCATGTACTGACACTTAAGTTCTAGTGCATTGCTTCATTCAAAACTGAGCTTTGTAAGTGCCTGTTGAATGATCTTTGTCTACAAAGTCTTACCTTACTGTCTCTCCAAGTGGAACAGCACCAGACACAAGATAGACATTATTCACTGCTCATAATCCAGTGACTGAGGGGGAAAAGTAGAAACATATAACCTTGTAGTTAGACTCAGCTAGAGTATTTATTGGTATTTCTTCAAGAAGTCAAATATCTAAATAGCCTTACAAGCATCAGCATACAGTAAGACAATCAGACTGATTGCAGTGCAATCAAGACTTCCCAAAAAGATACTTAAAGGCAACTTTAACAAACATTTAGTCACAGTACCTAAAAACAATGCTGTCAAGAAGTACTGCTTTAGTAGCCTCCCCAAATAAGTGATAAGACATAGCTGCATATCTAGAATTAAATTTGTTAGTTATACTGGTATTTGATTCAAAACTCCCATTTTTACAGAGTCGTTCTTCAGGGTAACGAAGTTGGAAAAATCCAGCACATTTATTTTGCATTGTGAAAACACTCTTCCAATAAGAGTCACATTCCAGCTTTGTAAAAAAAATATTTTCATTTTAATACATGCAACAGGCCTGTTTCATTTGCCATACTTTTCCTTAAATTAAGAAAAAAAAAAGTGCTATGCATTACTCACAAGTAATCTACCAGCAGACCAATACCTACGTGACACTTCAGAAACGTTTTATCTGTCCATTCACAGCAATTACCTCGTTCTGGAAGTCATTTTAGTGAAACAGTGAAGCATGGTTCATCCCACTGCTCTGGTGTGAGAGGGGAGATAAGGGCAATCTCAATACTGCAAAAGGAGTATATAAAACCACTGACTACATGCTTAGTGCCTCTTACCAGTAATGCAAGTGTTAAAATGACTCTGATTTCACTCTAACCCTGTGGGTAAGTGCAGAATGTGTACAGGGTCATTTATCTGTTTGATTTCATAAAGACTAAGATCCAGTCCTTGCAGCCAGCATGTCATTTGTGTCCTGACCAAAGAATTATGCACCACTGCATATAGCAAGCTCCTTTTATTTGGCCAAAGGTCACAAAATCACCTTCCTATCAGTATCACATTCACCCTCACAGACCTGTCCTTTTAACATCTTGTATCTAGAAGAGATGCAAGCCCCATGAACTGGTTTTGTTAACTGGTGCAGTAAGCTGACACATACCACCAGCCTCCTGTCACTCACTATACAGAAGAATTTGTGCAGACAGCCCATCCTCATAGGACATGCTGTAAAGCCTTATGAATACCATTAGAAATCCACGAATCAGAAGTTACAACTGTGCCATATCTCCATTGGTATATTTCAGTTAAAAGCTGCATCACCAGTCAATTGCACCATTGTCAAAAATATAGCCCTACCTGAGCTCAACTCTTTCTCCATCATAGCAGAAACAAAATTGCATCTTTTGTCAGTGGAAGAGATGGGCAATCAAGATGTTCATGGCTATACAGAAGTTCTGAAAAATAAAATGAGTTGTCTGATTTCAACACTATGATCACGCACGCTTCCTGTGGCATCATCTCAACTCAGGAAGGACTGTTATGGTTCACGCAGCACCTTGTTTGGCCCGAGAGTACTCTAAAGACAAAAGCACAACTCTGCATTTGCCTGAAGTTGTCACAGCCCAGTTAACAAAATGCTTCTCCCACTTACCCTTGTTCCAGCAACCAGGTGCCACCATGCCTTAGTTCAGCAAATAGTCCCAGAGTACACTGGCCACACACAAACAAAAGCAGGCTCATTATACAATGCAACTGTGCCAACTTGCTTTTAAAGGAAATTTGCTCGAGCAGAAGGTGCCCAGTTTAAATAAGGGGAGTTTACTATCCTGCTCTGTTCTAAGCCTTCCTCAGTCTGAAGGGATCCAAGCCTTTATCTCCCACCTTGAAAGAGCACCAGTTTCAAGGAGGAATGTGAAACTGATTGACTCTCTTTAGCCCAGTAATTCAAGTTAACTGCCTGGGAAAGACAAAGCCTAAGCTCAAGTGAACCTCCACTTGAGCATATTTGTACATTTTACACATGGCAATTGAGTTTAAAAACAGATGGCACTAGGACTTTCTCCTGGGAGGTGGGACATTCAAGTCTGCTTACTCTCAGATAAGAAACAGAACCCAGGTGTCCCATTTCTGGGTGGGGCTTCTCCAAATAAAATTAAAGCTATTATGTAAAAATAAAGAGAGAGAGAGGGGCAAGGAACGAGTATTACAGTTACTTTCTTTAAAGTTCATCTAAGAGGGATGAGGATTCCCAGCAGCAGATTTTAAAATGACAGAGGACTACAGGACCCCAAAAGAGGCCACCCTCAACATAAAATTTCCATCCTAAGCCAAGAGTTGACACAGTCTCATCACTAAGACACCAAACCTCACTGGCTCACTATCCCAGGCCTTTGCTAGTTCGTCCACACAATCCAACAATACGCCTGAAAAAGGTTAAATTAAGACAGAAGAGCTGCTCTGAAAAATGGAGAACAACAACATTGAGAACATAGCGCTGAAAGAATTGTAACATTGTAGCTACAGGCCTCTAACTTACTATCTCTGATGAAGAGAAAGGTACTTCTGTCAACAAACTGGAAGACTGTTCCCACAGCACCAAAGTAGTCCTTGGGAAAGTTCTGACTGTGCTCTTGCTAAAAATAAACATCAAGCAGAAGTGTTAGTATACACACATTATTAGTTTTTTTCCTCAGACATAGTTACATCTTGTCAGACAGCACTTGGAGGGGTTTCCTCAGCCCACTGTTGGCAAACAGCTGCGAAACCATGGGAACAGCACACACCAAGAACTGTTGCAATACACAAGAAATAGACATAATGAGGTAAAACACTAACAGCAGGTGAACAGGCAAAGCATAGCACAGGTTCTCTTGGATAACAGATGAAAGCTGCTATGATGTTATATTGTCTCTGGATTTACTCCCTCACAAAAGGGCAGAGGCTCTTCTACTACAAAAAAAAAAGCGTTGACTTGCATTGTCTCAGAGTGAAAGAGCAACATGTTTATTCTGACATGTACTTTTCCACAGCGCTTATGGCCTTCTAAACAATCCACACCAACACCTCACAAGTGGATCTGTGAGCGTACCAGGACAAGTCACCATTGATGGGGAAGAAGTTCTTCCATGTATGAAGCTGTAACTGACTAAATTCAAGTCATAAAGGAAAAAACTGGGATTTTAAGATGAGCACTAATGCTTACTATAAATTGTTACCTACTTAATAGGTTACACCAATCACAGAAGACACACCTTCTGAGCAGAAGTCATTCAACACGTTCCAAGAAATAAGCAATGTGCAGAGTCAGGTATTTTTTCCAGGCAGTGGGCAACATCTACATTGCAAAGTAAGGTGTTCCTCAAATACAACTAAGTTATGTCCACAACAGCTTTTATTCAGCACCCACTTGCCAACAAAGACACAACAATGCAGACCTCTGTGTGGACAAACAATCCAAGCAAATATCTAAACTGCCTGTTGGGACTGTACCAGCAAAAGCTATAAGCTGCATGTGTTTATGCTCCTGGAGGTCTCACCAAGTTAAGACTCACCACCAGCACATCCTTTTTCATAATGCAGAAGTTGCTCCAAGGGAAACCGATTTTTTCTTTCCATGCCACCTTTCTCCTGCACCTTCTGCTCAAAGCATCAGGACTCTGAGAGCATCATTAGCCCTATGAGTAATACAGCCAAAGAAATTGGAGACTGCAGTGAACACACACGAATGCAAAAGAAGTGGCCCAGGGAGATACTTTTGTCACCCATTCAGGTCTAATTATAAAGCAGACACTGCCTGTAAATGCCAGAGACACAGGTGACAAACAGCCCATCTGCATGACAACCCTGCTCAAACCAAGTCTGAGAGTGGTCTGTCTCCCACCTGCGCTGGTACCACCGCCTGCACCACTCCCCACCAGCAGCATGAAGAGTCCCAACACTGGCTCCTCCTATTATCATCTTTTTACCCGTGTGGCTCCTTTCCCACTGATGCTCACCTCACACCTCACCTCAGCAGGGGTTTAGCTGCTTTCTTAGGAATTCCTGGCGAAGGTTACTAGAAGACAGTCCAAAGCCGAGGTCAATAAAGCAATGCACCCCCACCCTCAGACACACCGGGTGAAAATCACCTCTAACCCCCAGGCGAGCACAGGTGAGGCCAGCGAAGCCTCACGTACCTTGGGCGGTCTGTCCGTCCCTCTCGGAGGTCACCGGGGCCGCCGGAGGGAGCAGCCCCACAGCCGGCGGCGCCAAACCGTGAGGGGAAGCGGGCAGCAGGCGCGGAGAGCGCGGCGGCCCCGCTGCGGGGTGCGTGAGGGCCGGGAACCGAGCAGCTGGGATGTGCCCCGGGGGAGGAGGGAGTGAGGAAGGGCCGCCGGCGGACACGAAGGCTCCCGCTAGCCCCACGCTGAGCCCTCGGCTCCCACGCGGGGCCTCCCTCACGGCTGCCCGCAGGGGCCTCTCCCCGACACCGGGAACCCCGCCGGGCGCGGCCGCCCCGCCGGGGAAAGCCTAGGGCTGAGGGGAGGCCCCCCACCCTTACCTGCCCGGTGATGCCGGTGATGAGAGCCACCTTCCTGCCGTTCATCTCCTCGCCGTCGCCTCCCGTTGGGGCAGCGCAGACACACGCCGCCGCAGCCGCCGCCGCCTCCTCCGCCGCCGTCGGCTGTGCCATCCTCGAAGCGGCGGGCGCGGCCCAGGTGTGGAGATAGCCAGGGGGAAAAGGGCGGGCACAGAGGGGAAGTGCCGCCCCAAGACGCGGCTCAGCACCTGGGCTGCCGCCGCTATCGCTGCCGCCGCT